AACTCGTGCGATGCTCATCCTCTTACTCGCTATTCCTGTTATCTAAACCACAAATTGGTCGAGATATCTTCCGCCAGGTATCTGCTTTTGCGTCGACAAGAGAAGTGACCCAGAGAAGCTGATGTAAATTCATCCTCGTCTTGAGGGAGCAAGATTATGTGTGTAATGTCGAAAAAGAAACATTCATGAGGTCTGGCGATTAAAATGGCCGAGTTCTGTCCTGGGATTGGCGAGGGTAGTGGTGACACCTGTGGGAACAGAATTTTTACAAGCGTGCAAGTGCTAGAAAATTTACTTTTTCTGCAATTGTATCGTGTGTCCATTTCATTGTGTTCATTATGCACTGACAATTGCCTTTTGACAGATTGGAAAAAGATCGGCATGCCAAGCTTCATTTAACTCTCATTCTCATTTTATTGAATAGAAAATTTCCATGTTCTGGAAATAATCATTTGACTGAACTCCTATCTCATTTCTTCCATCTCCCCTTTAACAGCCAAGCCAAGGATGTACTCAAAGCTTATTCACATGTTCATAAGGTCATGTCTGTAACGCTCTTTGTTTCGTGTCTGCCATTGCTCCTCCACAGAATTTGTAACTGTTTAAAGAATATGGCCTTAGTATTTGACAATGCTTGTGAAATTTTTAAGCTTTAAGATGGACTGTATGTCTTCATTAAAAAATATTCAACAACCCTAATTTAAACCACTAATTCCACCCACTACAATCATTCATGATTTTTATTCTTTACTTTTTGACCATCCTTCAATGACTACCATTCTTAACATCCAAGGCTATCACGACCAATATTATCCATAAGAGGTTTTTTTGAGTAGTGGTGGGTTTAACGTCAAATTTATATTTACACGATCTAACCCTAAAAGCCTCGTCATTTATCCAATCTTGTGAGACTTTTTTTAACGAAGCGTATCAGTATGTTTGTCAGCAAATCTCGTTTCATCAACACAATTATTTAAACACGGCAAAATGTCTCTTCTTCACGATGGTGTGCGGGGGTGCTAATAATGGTGGACCGTATTATCCGCCCATTTTACTGCTTGTATGTTCGAAGAAGTGTGGAGAAATGCGGATAATGGGATGCATTTGCTGCTACTTTAATTCCACCTCTTATCTGCGATTGAGTGCAGATATTAGAATAAAATGATAAACTTCTGGGAAACCACTTCCCAGTCAATTCTGGTTAGGTGACATCTAAAAGATAAGTGCGAGCAATAGGATGAATGCCACCATTTCTGAGTTACTCCTTTGTTCTGCAATGAAGCAGAGATAATTTCATTCATGATGCACTTCCAAGAGACGACTTCTCGGTCAATTTGGATGAGTTCAAATTCCATGGATAAATGTAGAAAAAAATTCACTTTTGGACCTACATTCTAGTCACACGACCATTCAGATATACCCTGACTGCTTTGGGGCCACTAACAAATGGTGCAGTCTCGCGCCTCCAGAACCCTCCCTCCTCCCCACTCCTGCCCCCCCCCCCCCCCCCCCCCCCGAGAGAAGTGGTAAGAATACAAGGGTGGCAGTGACTAATGTGAAATACGAGTTTTTACAAATGTTAGTGCTGGAAAAAAACATTTTTCCCACTGTTTCATAGCCAGCCAATTCCGTATTAGAACATTCAAAGAGCTCTTACCTAGAAGGGAAGATATTTGCGTTCAAGCCTGTGCCACCTTCCCAATCAAACAACCAATTCGGTCCACCGAACCTCTGACCCACCAACAGGTGAAGAAAGGCTAGTGGCTGTCATACACCTTGGTTGTTGACGAATGTCCAGACTTCAGAAGCAAGTACTGTATGCCCGAACATTACATTCAAGAATGTGAATCGTCTTTGAATATCTACACACTTAAGTAATACAAGTCAACCCTCTTTCAGACGGCGCCTCCCTGAGACAGGGAATCGCAGCAGCAAGGAAGTGGCCACGAATCACCAACCAGCAACGAGAAGGTCTGGGAACCATGAACCTTCCTCAGCCAAGACCTGGGGTATTATGGGAAATGGAGAGTGAATAGGCCTGGAGGATGGAGCCAACTGGCATTTTGCAACATGAAAGTACCAAATTGTATTCTGACAGAAACTCGAAGAGACTCGCACAACAAACAGCTCCAGCTGCCCTTGAGGGAGCTTCAATGAGAATATTTTCCAAATACGGGACGGCACTAATTCCTTGCTCCCTCAACGATACTTCCAATGAATGAAATTGCCGACTTCCCACACAAAACTTCCAAAACTTTCTTTGGGGTGGCACCATTGGAATCTGGCGGTAGGCATCCTCCTAATTTTAAAACACATCAAGGGATCTTTAATGCCCACTGTGAAGCAGAATGCATGTATTATATGGTTAAATACACCCCACAGTAATAATCTGAGCGACCTGCCGGATACTAATTTAGAACCTCTGCAACAAGCAGCGAACCTGCTTCCACTGCACTCTGAAGCCCTTTTCTTTTGATCTACCACACTGGTTGTCAGGCCCCTTACAGGAAGGTGAATATTCTTCCTCCCTGGCTGGTGAAAACGGTGCCCTTCCCAGCCGCCAGCTGTTCCTTCTTTGCTGCATCAAATTTCTTAAGTTTATTCTGGAGGTCACCAGAAAACAGTCATAACCATGTATGGCTTTAGGGCTACAGAGGAGATGGGAGGCTGCACCAATGGCGATTGAGCTTGTACACACAAAATACACTCACACTGGTCAGAGGGCGATGATATGTGCACAATGTTGAGACTAGAGTTTATGTTTAAAGCTGAATTAGGTCTGCAAGGGTTAAAGAAAGTGCGTACTTAAAAAAAACATAATCCTTGATACAATAATTATTTATTCGAATTATATTATTAATTATCAAAGGTGGCAGTGACACAGGAGAAAAATGCAACATCGACCAGACTGCTTATAACTTTACATGCCGAAACCCGGTAACACATTTGATGTAATTTATGAATAAAAAAAGCACAAATAATTATTCATCATAGCCCCATTACACTGCTTATCAGGTTGCGAGGCTGCTAATATGGGTTTCTCATGCCATATGATCCATATGGCAGTACCCCGGGTACCAAATAATACAAAATGGCCGAGGCAATTAAATACTTTATTTCTGGGACACTATTTTTTCCAGGGGTGTACTTCACTCCGCGACTGGGGTACCAATCAATCCGAAATCAGTGCTACTCCGAGATGTCGAAACGCAGCGAGGACGATTGCGCTGAAACCCTGAACGCTCGCGGTACGCACCGTAGTGGTGCATCGTGTCCAGCTCGTCGAGATGAGTCGATTGCCGCAACGCCGACCATCAACAGACTAAAAATGACTCCATCACGGACATTATGCGAGAGCCGGGGGGTATTATGGTATCCCGGGGTACCGCCATAAGGTTAATATGTTCAATATCCTGTGTATCTCATGAGTGCTGAAGTTTGTTCAAGAATGCATGGAAGTGCATGAACATTGTTAGCAAAATGTAAGTCTTTGTGAATTTAAGAGCCTTGGCATATCAAGTGGGCTGTGCACTGGGTTTAGAGCTGCTGCTCTGCATTGGCCTTATTTTGCTGCTGGCCTTCAAAGTTTGCCTACATTTTTCTTTTTTAAGAATATGTGGAACTGATTAGACTCACAACTGAATACAATTAATGTTTCATTCCAACGATTTTAGTGCTGAATATACTTGTGTAAAATGTTGAACTCTTTAGATGTTACTTGTGCTTTTAAATATGTACTTTCAACAAATATGCTGGCCTGCAACAACAGAAAAAGGGCTGTCAGGAACAATTTAAGAATAGAGAACCTCAGTTATGCTACTCTTGCCTTGCTAGCTAAAAGGCATTTTTTGGCTTAAGAATAATGAATGGCTTAATCCATAATGAAAAGATTACATGGACTGTGCTGCGTTGCAATTCTGCTCGTGGATTACTGAGATGGCTATTCTTGTTGGAATTTACTGCATCTGCTGCCACTTTATTTTTGGCTGTCACAGCCTTGACAGGTTTTAAAATGATAAGAAACATCTCAAGATATTTTTTTTCTAAAGTGTTTACAAATGTATATTCGTCCTGGGTTTAATTTATTCCCCCACCCCGCCCCCCCCCCCTCCAAACTGAGTATTGTATGCCGATAATGAGCATTGGATCATATAGCATAAATAAACAGGTAAGGCGGTTTAATGGTAAAAGTGAAATAATATTTAACCCAACGTCCAATGGGCCAACTGCATACATATATCCCAGTGGGATATTTAAATAAGGTAAACTCTGAAATAGCTTAGATTTCATGAATACATTATTCTCATGGGACAGTCAACTCTAGTCAACTTGAGTTGGCCTGATTTCTCCCAGAACTCCACTTGAAGGACAACTCAAACTGATGAAAATATTCATGAAAATGTACCTTTTGGGACAGCATCGCTGATGAGATGGCAACTCGAGCTCAAACGCAGGTAACGCGGCTCATGGAAACGCACCACAAGTCAGACATTTCTCCCGCCGTTGTTTTTCCTTATCTACTAGAGACCGTGCCTGACCTTGGGATGCTCCGAGTGATACCAATTGGTCCTACACCTGGGGTATTTCAATCTTCAGGCTTGCGGAGCGGTGATGCGAAGCAATGGTTCACATACTGCACCACGAACCTGGCAAACAGGATTCGATTCCCTGCCATGGCTGACATCAGTGGCATTTGATATCTGAATTAGTCCTGAATTAGTCCTCGGCTCCTCCGTTGCCCAACCTGCACTGACCAGCATGGTGCTTGTCAGCATGATGTGGGTCAGCATGGTGCTGGTCTGCATAGTGCTGGTCAGTGTGGTGCTGGTCAGTACATTTTGGAAAAACTCTCCTTAAGCTGAAATCGTCACCTTTTGGATATGTGGTCCCAATTTGCTTGTAAAGTATATGGGACACGTGCATTTAGATGCGGTTGAAGTGTGCCCGTGTGTGCCCGCACATGGCCGGGTGAGCTCTCCACCCATGTCCGTATCACCCACCGGCCCAGCGATGCGCACATCATGCAGCCGCCCCCACTCATCCTCCAGACTGTCGACCAGCATGGAGTCATCCTCCTCGCCCGGCCACGATGCTGTGAGCTCCAGCATCACCTCCTCGCCCGCCGAGCCCAGCCCCACCGCTGGAAAGAGGCCCCCCTCTGGAACTGGCACCGACAGGGAGCCCAGCTGAAAGGCAGCGCAGGGAGTCCAGGGGTAGATAAGCATACATTATTAATCAGCTTGCTTTGCACCTCGTTACAAGAACATCCATATGTCATCAGAGGGAGCTCCGCTGAGAGCGGAGGCACGCATTGTCTCATTTTACACCTCAATATATGCCCAGTTACATGCCTCACTGCACATCACTGCGCAGAGATAAAACCCGAGCTGCTAGGATCGCAGCTTCGTGATCTAATCACAATGCCACTGCTCCCCGTGCCACATGCATACCCATAAGGTGATTACATGAACCTATTTAAATCCAGGTCTCCCTTTAAAAAGAGACAACTGGTCTCAATGGGCTTACAAAGCTATAAAGGTCGACTGCTACTACTATCCCCGTATCAAATGGTGACTCACACGTAAGCAGGTCTTGTTACAGAAGCCCACGCAAGCATTTTGCACACACTTGATAAGCATTGTAATTACAAAGAGCAGAGGTTCACGTAAAAAAAAAACCTCTATAATAACTTAATCTTCATGGTCTACCAAAAGTTATATGTACTGTAGTATTTAAGTGTTTTGGAATAGTCGAGTTCAGTGGCTTTTGAATGTACAATAAATATTCTTTGAACATAAGAGGGAAAGGGATGACTTCACAAAGCCTTTCAACATTTAAAATTAAAGGGAGGCAGAATGATCTAATTTTAATTGAGGTGGAGGAGGTGGGAACTCGCTGCGAAATAAGAGCTGTTGCGGTGACGTTGTGAGGAAAAATGAGCACGGGCTAAACACAAAAGGGATAAATACACATGTAATATTTGTTTCCAAAAAAAATGCGTTTAGAATTCCAGCAAGCCTCAGTTACAAATTTGATCAAGTTTAAACGAATGGCGTATTTCATTCCTTTGATAATAACGACTTGTTTTGATTTCATCCAAGTGCGGCATTCCCGAGGATGGGTGGCTTTGATGACCCAGAGGATGTGTGCCTACACACAATCCAGGGTCGTGCCCCCACTGGAAGCCCTTGAGAGGGTTTAATGTTTCAGGCGGAGTCCGCTCCATTCGCATTGTTCCCGTCCGTTATTACTGTGATGTAGGGGCACCACGGTAGCGAGATGTTAACTACCTCACCTGGTATGCATGGTGGTCGTGGATTCGATCCCGACCCCGATGCCTATATGTTTGGAGTTTGCAGGTTCTCCCCGTGGTCACATGGATTTTTCTCCGGGTCCTTTGGTTTTTCCCTCTCCATTTAGAAACGTACATTTATAGTATTTGGCAGTCACGAAAGCTTTAAATCGAGTATTTGGCTGCTATAAATTTCCACGTGATAAGCCACTTTTTGTCGCGCTATCATTTGTGACCAGGTCACTTCTGAAAAATAAGCTAATAACTCAGTGGGCTTAATCTGGTAAAATAAAAAGTTTAAGTTTTTCTGTTTAGTATAATCGAGCACATGTGGCAGAGGAATCTTATCAGACTACAACTTCATGTAACTTTTTGGAGGGCACCCCCTTACTCGTGATTTAACGGTACAGCATAAACATTACATCCATTGCCATTATTTTCGCCTTGGTATGGTTACATTTTTTTTACACAAAGTGAAATCATCTTTCAAGTAAAGGTGAAAATGTCTCCATGCTCAGATATGCACCGGAGGAGGCAGTACATATCACCACTGGTGGACCTGAGCCCCGAGTGAGTGGTGGACATGTATCTGATGTGATATGGCCCCTTCACAAATTAACATGAATACTGCCGAGTTAAATGTTTAAATTAAAATGTCTTGAAATTGCACGACAAATAGTTGTCCTACCTTGACATGCTACCTCTTTAAGTCCACTTTATGTGCTTGTATTACAATAACAATTTTATACTCTCCCCAAATTAATTTATTTTCATTTGTACATGTTGGACTTCTTTCGTACGTAGCCAACAGTGCTAACCAGAGGTGTGGGGGAAGGACAACAAAACTAAACCCAAAAATCAGTTCTAATGAAATTCGTTTTCAATCTAAATTATTTAAAAGTACATAGCTCGGGTGGCTTCCTAATATAAAAAGGGGCGTTCGAGACGGCCACAGAAGCGCATCTGAAAGTGTGCGACGCAGTGACATCTTTGTTCGATTGTTCGAATGCATTTTCCTCAAAAGCTACATGGCAAAAGAAAAATTTGCAATGCTCTCTCACCTAGTCATAAGTTAAGGCTATACACACAAATTGTGCACTTTCAGTGATTCACAGCTGGTTTGTACCAAAAATATTTTAACAGCTGCTTAACATGTACAACATCTCTCACTTGTTTGCAGTCCCAGCAGTAAAATCCTGGAAGCAAGTTGCTTGCACCTCAGTGGATGTGTTCCATGCAATAAAGTATTGGAATGAATGAACAATGAGTAGATGGATGTATGTATAAACAGGGAGGTGCAGTAAATTCCCATCGTGTTTATTATATTACAGTGTCAAAATATAACCCACTGGTAGATATGCAGCATCAGGGATACATTAAATGTCATACCACACTGGTTAATGTGTACAACAGCACAAAATTGTATTGCAACTGTTCCAGGATTTACACTGACACAGTTATTCATGATAAGACTTTGAGTTTTGGAGAATATAATGGTTGGAGCACAGTAAAAATGTGTTCAATTTAAAAAACAAATCAACTAGCCAAGTTTATCAAATGATGCATGGTGTAACTTCCATCAATGCTGTAATAAAACCACCTCTGTTTTTTTCTCAAGGTTCTTCAGATTGCCTTTGAGCCAAAGGAATTTCCAATGAAACCAACTTAAACCCTAAAAATTGTGGTTGAGATTATGAAAACGCATTACGCCAACATCAGATACAAGTGCAGACACTCCGTGTGACATCAAAAGCACGTGTCAAAAAAATCCCACAAGAAAAAGAAAAGCCTGCAGATCAAATAAGTTACTAAATAAAAACAGATTAATTTTCAATATTTTCAAATGAACCTGCTCCAAAGCATGGTGGGGCTGGATTTCTCAATAAAGGCTCAGTTGGGTTTTTCAAGCACACAACACGACTGTACTCATGCAAGTCATTTAAATAATCACCCCATGAATAGACAGGTGAACAGAATGCGAGTTAAGCACACAACTAGCCGAATAGGATGGCAAGCATCAAGGACAGAAATGGGCCTGTTAGGCTTTGTCACAAAGATGATACAGTTCACGTGATCTCTTCCTGTGTTCTAAGCTTGGCTGCCTGGAAATGGGGCATTTGACCAAGCCCGGAGAATTCTAGTTATCAATCATGTGGTACAAATACTGTAGATGCTGATACATATTCAGAGGCTGTCCTCGCCTATGTATGCACGTGCACACACAGACAGCAGAGGACACTACACACAGTTGTGCCAGGACCACACCCAGACACACGCATAAATGCACCCGCACACACACATACACAATTGTCCATATACGTGTGCACACTAACACGGGGGAAGTTAAAATGCACTCTCACACATATGGACTCACAATGTCCATCTACATGCACATACACAGTGCTTACTCCATTCATACATGAAAGGCAAAAATCCCACTATTTATCTGAAAACATTATTGGGGAATAAGAGCTGTTAGGAAGTCTCTATTAAGGCCAGCAAGGCACACGACTCTCACGCCAACGTGCACACGCCAATATAGCCTTAATAGGCTGTTGGGGCAACTGCTGTTAGTAAGCACCTATGAAGGCTGGCACGGCACACGAAGGGGTGGGTGGCCAGCACCACGCCCAGCCGCCTTGTTCCATAGTGGCGATGTTTACACACAGCCCCATTTGAGGCCGAGTCGACCTAGGGGAGGCCAAGGACCGGCTCAAATATTCATCACCGATGTTGGCCGTGAGCAGGAATCGAACTCGGGTCGCCGGGTTCGTAGCGCAGCGAGCTAACTGCTACACTACCGCCCGCATGCACACATACACAAATACAAAAATCCCCTGTATAGCCTTAACAGGCTGTAGGGGCAAGTGCTGTTAGCAAGCACCGAGAAAGGCCAGCATGGCACATGAAGTGGTTGGGTAGCCAGCACCATGCGTACACCCACGCACGCACGCACACGCACTGTACCACAGGTAATGTCCAGCCACCCACGCTTCACACTCGGGTTGAGTCTGGAATTACCGTGGCTCTGAAACAGCCCTGTTTATTCTCGAGTGCAGAGACGACAAGTCTGGAGCTGCGATTTTTTTTTCTGCCGTAACGGGCGGTCACTGTGCGCGCTCGCACGCTACACACACTTAATAAAGATAGCGTTACGACACGTGAAATCCACTACCGTAGGCAACATTGTGTAATCGTGGGCTCACCCAGCAAAACATGCACAAACATCCCAAGTGTACTACTCAACTTAAAATGTCCAATATATATTTTTCCTCTTTAAATATGTTTCCATAAGGATTTCCCTCCCTCCTGTGTCATCTTTTCTTAAATATTGTTTTTTCTTTACAAAATCTGCTGTAGAAACACACTTCCGAATCCGTTGTTACATGGGCACCTTTTCACTGGCTGTGGGTAGCGGAACCTTTGGCTTCCATCATGACCGGTTCATTTTGCCCCTAACGGGAAATGCTGATGCCTCCTCTGTAAAGCTGTGCAGGATGTCGGCTGCATAAGGCAGTCTCTGCCCAGCAACTTCCTAATCCTAACTGGGTGCCGCCTTCACAGTGCTCACGGGGTGGCCGCATCTTAATCCCAGCTAATTACAGCGTTCTAGCTCAGCGTAATTTTAGTACTTATTTATTTATATAGGGCACACTGAAGACTGCAGAACTACGAGGTTGCCATCTACGTTTCTGTCACTAAGCGAGCTCGGAACAAGCTCGGTCAAGGAGCATTCAAGATACCTCCCTTGCATTTAAGATTTTTAATGAGGAATTTAATGCGGCAAATGAAGGTGTATGACCAAGCACCGGATTTTATTGCTATATAATGCTGGAATACTTCAAGCCAGGAGAGCAGCATTAGACACACTGTTCTATATCAAAACGGTAACTT